CCCCCCGGTTTCCCCGCGGCGGGCACGGGCCGGGCCCGGCCCCCCTGAGGGTCCGCTCGGCCTGCCGGGGGTCTTGCTGGCCGGGCTTGGAGCGGGGTGGCTCACGCGGTCATTCCCGGGAGCAGGAATCGGACCTGAGCCCACCCCAGGAGACGGAGCCGACAGTTTTACTTCATGCTGCCTGTTTCCGTGGCTGATAATCAGGAGCACTGGAAGGAACTGAGAAGAGCTTAGGAGTGTTTCAGCACTTGTACAGCTGCAGTCAGTTCGGTGTTACTTGTTAATGTTATCGGGCTCACCCCTTGCCTCCACATTCACGGTATCAGAACCTTTTTTCCTGCAAGATTTATCACCCTGCTTGGGTACTGGCACCTTAAAACCAGGAGTGCAGTGCATGGGCACCTCAGTGATGAGCCCTAGAGACAGGGTATGTCTAGTTAGACTTACTGGCTTTGGCCAATGAGTCTGAGGCCATGCGAATCTGAAGCTGCCTGCACCCAAAGGTGCCTGCTGTGCACCCTTTCCTCATGGAGGCAGGTTGTAGGAAGCTTGCAAGGTCGGTCATAGCACTGTATGAAGGCATGGGTCTGGCTTAGTAAACCTTCCCATTGGAGTGATACGAAGCATGGTGTGGAGATGCCCAAGAGATTCTGTCATATTTCTGGGCTGCTTTTTCTAGAATGCCATTTTGCAAACTGGACCAAACATGGGAGGGGAGCTGGTTATGGCCATTTGCAGAGCACCGTGTCTGACCTAGTAAACCGTCCTGCAGCATTTGGGAAACTGCTATGAAGGTTTATTAATACACACTCTGTTGGCTTTGAAGAAAGCAGCCCAAGAGCTAAACTGAGCCTGGAATTTTGGTTGAACCTATGGTAATCCCTTGCAAGGACAGTGGGGAATATGTGTTGTTTCTTCTTCTTACCCTCTTCCCTTTCGAAATAATGTTCAACCCATTAGACACATTTACCAGTGAATAAGCACGTAAGAAGATCATTACAGGGACAGGCCAGAGGACAAAATAGCCCATTATCTCATTTCTGACAATTACCTTAGATCTAGGAGATGCCTAGGGACTAGTAAGAGCAGGTGAGTGTACATTGTATTCATCCCAAGTGCTTAAGCACTTTCTGATCCTCCAGCTGTTTTTAGCTCTGCAAACTTTTCAAGATGGACATGAGTCCTGTATGTTCAGTAATGCTCTGTGCATCTCGTTGCAAAGTACAGCTTCATATAAGCTTGTGGAAGTAGCATGCCAGATGGACAGGAGTCTGCTAACTGAGGAAAAAGGTTGCACGTTAAACTCTAGTGCCTTAAGATATAAGGGAACCACCACAAAGAAATTGTCAGTTTGGATGTGAACTTTTTGCACGTTAATGTCAGCAGCCCACTGTGAAATGCAAATGAGTAGAAAACAGGAGTGACTGATTTCCTGTGCTCTTAGATTTACTTGCTCTTACTGTTCAAGTCAGTAATACTAAAACAAAGATTAACTTCTCTGGACTTGGACACAAAGTTACATTCAGGCAAGAGATTTTTTTTTTTTTAAGTTTTTTATTACCATTCTTGCATCTATGCAGTGTTCTGAGAGGGATGAGGGCTACACGTTAGGTAACCCAGCTAGCCACGCTAACTTGAACAATCTAGAACATGCTAACTTTTGAAGGAGGTGGCAGAGTTCATCTGACACCTCAGTCAAATGTTTCATAGGTAGGCAGGACCATTCAAGTACAGTCTGTGCTAAGGCTGAATTATAGATGATGCTGGGGAGCTTTCTTTGAAGGGCTGGAGCTCTTAATTTTCAGTAAGAAAGTACAGAAGGTACTACAGAAGGTACAGAACTACTGGAGCTCTAAAGTTGTTGTATGGGGAGATGATCTTTGAATGATCATCTTACTCCTAAAATCCTTACGTTGAAAGAGAAGAAGAGCATTCTGTACTGGGATCACAATTGGAGTGTATCTTTTATAGAGACATTGATGAAAGAATAGTAAATAAAGGTAACTTTTAGTAAATGAGGAAAGATTGTTGGGTAGTTTCCTATCTGACAGAGCTGCGTTTATAAAGGACATATGTAATTACTACTGAAATTTGCCCATGTAGATCTGGTCCTTGACAATTATCTAGAATAGGAAAATTGCAACCATTTGAATGCTAGCAATGTCAAAACAGCATAAGTGGCAAACAGAAATGCTAACAAAGCTTGCATTGATGTAGCATGTTTTCAGTGAGTGGTTGTAATATTACTAATGCAAGCTCCCACATTGTACATAGGACAGAAGTATAATCCAAGTACTATGACCAAAATCTTTCTCGGGGTAGCCTTCAGTTTTGCACACTGTGGTTGTTAATACAGTATATTCAGGTTTTTCAGGTATTAACCTTGCTTGAATGATTATTGTTACCTCCTGTGGTAGCCATTTGTCCTGTCCCACTGCTTGGCAGATTATGTATTTTTTTGTTTCTTCAGCTCAGAAGAGCTGGCCTCATCTATGTAGTTTTTACAGTAGTGTAAATAAATATAATTTAATTAACTCTTTTATTTCCCCAGTAGATACTTCTAAAATTGGAGTTGCATTTCCTGTCAGCAAAGAAGTAGCCCTGCAAACACAGTTCCTTACACAGTGTGATGATCTCCCTTTGAAACGTGAGATTGTGCCAGAGTCATAATTTCATTAGGATTCAGCATAAAAACTTCTGAGCAAATTAAACTCATTAGACCCTCTTACTCTGATAGTAGTGTCACACAAAACCAGAGCAAGGCACACAAAGTGGAAAACCTGATCTTGGAAGTTCTTTTTGAGTGACTAGGATAAGAAACTTGCTGTAGCATATTTTAGTCAGGGTCATTTGTCTAACAGACGAAGGAATACCTAGGACACTTTGAATAGCCCTCTGTGTATGAAAAGCAGCCACATGAAAGTCTGTTCCCCAGAGAGGGAAGAACTCCTGAACCAACTTTTTAGGTAGCAGCTGAAATCCCCTGGACATAAGCCAGATGTCTGATGCCTCTGGAGAGTTAGTGCTGTATGTGAGGTTAAGTGTGCTTCTCACTGCTATGTGTGTAGCTCATAATTCTGTTAAGAAATGTCATTAATTTTAATATTTCAGTTAATATTAAAACAGTGAATCAAACTTTTGTATTTAATCTTAATATTATTAACAAATCTAAGCTAATTTAATAATTAATGCTTAATATTACTAGACATACTGCTTCCTATGTAGCATTTTGCATATTTCCTTCACTCAGCTTTACTTCCTTCCTTTTTAACCAGCCATAATGATTAACTAACATGTTCACATTTGGGTTTTTTTGTCTGAGTTGGGGATGGCACAGTAGAGATAATTGCTTTCCAATTATTTGGTCCCAGGAGGAGGCACTCAGTTTAGACCTAGCACTGGGCCTCAGGCTTTTGGGTTGGCAGACCCCAGAAAATTTTTCAGAAGTAACAACAATCTTTTAGGAGCAAATTTGTACTTACTGATGATGATTAGGGTTTGGTCTTTTAATGTGCTTTTCTTGAAATTACTTGAGAGTACTTAATAGGCCGCAGTTTGAATATAGCTGTAGTAGGTTAAAGTAGCTATGTTGTAATGGTATAGCATTATGATTTTACTTCCCAGAAATGTGTTTGATGTCATGGATAATCCAGTTTTTAAAACATTCTTGAACTATTACTGATGGTAAAATTTTATTTTCTGGATAGTACTTGCCTTCTGTAATATGTGATTTTGACTAGAATGTGAATTTGTATACTATTAATAATGAAACTGTTCTTTACAGTTAAAATTCATACTATACTGTACTTCAGTGCTAACTGAAAAAAAAATATTTTCATTATGGTTGCTCAGACTATTTGATTATGCACTTTAATGCAAAAATAATTGTGTTGACTTGCTAGAAGCTTATTCTGTCAAAACAAGCCCTGAGTAAGGAACAAAACCATTGGTAAAGTGAGATGGTGTTAAAAAAAAAAAAGCAAGCCTGTCAGTTATGTTTGAGAATTTGCATATCATCTCAGTTGCAGAATTGGATATGATACTCTCATGAAAAATATCTCTCAGTCTTTCTGCAAAAAAATGCCAGAGGCATTTATCACAATTATCTTGGAATCTAAGCCGTGATTTCCTTGAAATCTTTGTTACTTTTGTACAGGATAGAAGCTTAATGTGGTGGAATCACTGAACTACACCAAGTTACTTTCTATTAGTGTGCTTACAGTAGGAACCAGGGTTTGCTTAAGAGAATACAACAAAAACCAAGAAGAAAGTGGGGAACAGAGGGAACTAAATTAAAATGTTTTGGTGGAAATGTGGGATTTTTCATTCAGATTACTTCTGTATTTTAGGTGGCTTCAGCCAGGACGAACTGCTAAAAATATGGAAGGGCCTGTTCTACTGTATGTGGATGCAGGATAAACCTCTGCTGCAGGTATGGTAACTGGGTTTATATTTGCTTGAGGGGGTCCCTTCTAAAATATACTGTAGGGATATACTAATTTAGAATTGTGGAAGTGACCTTAATGAGTTTTAGTGATTTTGTTGGGTTTTTTTCTCCTTCCCCTGCTGCTCTTATGTGCCATGTGCACGAGAGGCAACTGTAACTCAGTGATCCTCACCACAGAAGCAGAAGTCTAAATGGCATCATGTTTGGAGTCATCCTCTGGCAGATGTAGCTGTTTACCTTACAAAACCAGAACTGAAACGCATGCCGTTATGAAGTGCACTGATTGGTGGAGGTAAAACAGTAAGAGCAGGTTGCCCTTACCTGCAACCTTTAGTTAGCTTTGTTTCAAAGTTTCACACTTCCTTTTCTTTCATTAGTTCAGTGCTACTTCCTTTACTACTAACTGTGTCTTTACTACTGACTTCTGCTGACTTTTGTCAGTAGCTACCTGTTTGTCTCCCTACTTTCAAAAGATACCAATATTGGAGTACAAAATCTTAGTAACCTCACTTAATTAGTATTAAATCACCCATCTGTCTGCATGAGCAAGGCTTCCCTGAAACATAGCACAGAGCACTTCATCTGCAACTAAGCTGTATGAAAACAGTACCTCTGAAGTTTACATAGTTTGTTAATTTAATGGGGTTTTTTTCCTCCTCCTAATTGAACTTTGCTGTCAAAAATATGATGTGCAGAGTTTTGGTGAAATCCCAGTGGAATGATAACTGCAGTGCAAAAGCAGCTGTTGAGACAATATTTTTTATTTGAGGGATGTTTCATGGTATTTGTACTTCTTGCTGTTTTCTGCTGGTGTGTTTACTGAGGAGACCTGAAACATGCTAAGCTATATTTATGTACTTTTAGGAGGAACTTGCAGGCAATATCTCACAGCTTATCCATGTGATTCAGAATACAGAGGCTCGTAAGTACTATTTCATTATCTCATGCTTTGTAAGTACTTTCATCTTTGGCAATTTTGAGGCCATTATCACAGTGCCAGAATAAAGACAGCCAGAAAGAGGCATTGCTTTGCTTTTTTTTTTTTTTCTTTTTGTCCACCTGGTGTCCGTGATTGTATTAAGGGAAGTATGAGATGCAGTTTGGTGAGTTTTTGCAGAAGAATTGTATCCCCAGTGTGATAAGGGTGAGACTTCTCTGGGTGGGCAGCAAAGCAAACTCATCCCCATATTTGAAATTCTGCATTTACTTGTCCTGTATATTTCTTAATCAAAACCAACCTTGTTTCATAAGCTGTAAAACACCTAATACTCGAAATGCACTTGAAGTAGTGCTCAGTCAATGTCAAAACTTGCCTAGGTAGAAATGAGTGCAGAATGGATATTTTGCTCTTACTTGTGTGTATATAACACAAAATAGATACAAAGCTGTCCCTATAATTACAATTTTCTTTAAAAGTAGCTGTGTGTCCTTTTTTTTTGTGTTGTTCTCAAGTTTAATTGATTCCTCCTTGTACCTGTCTCAAGCATGTCTTCCCATAGCTTTGTCCCTGTCACTTGGCAAATCCCTAGGGAAATGTGTCCCTTTCTCATGTTGAAGTGATTTATTGAGATTCTTTTGGGTTGCCAAAATAAACCATTGTGCCAAACATACAGATAGTTTTTCTTACTCTTTTACAGGACACCTGTTTATTCAGACATTTTGGCAAACTATGAACCGTGAATGGAACGGGATAGACAATCTGCGTCTGGATAAGTACTACATGGTAATCTTGTAGATCTTTTCAGCAAGAAAAGAAGGTGTGGTGGTGTGCTGGAAGGCAGCTTTGTCTGCACATGCATCATGCATTTATGTATATTGTGAGAGAAAAGGAGTGAGTATCTTGATGTTGCATTGCAGACAATGCGTGTTTCAAAGACTTCCTTTCACTCACCACTACAAATCTGAAGGCCATTATGGTTTATGTCAGGCTGCAAGTCCTTTCTTGTTTGCCTTCCTTTATAACAGTAAAATTTCTCATTGATTTCTATTTGGAATACAAATACTGTCTCAGGACACTGAATAAACATCGGGGTTTTAGATCAGACTGTTTAAAGACTATTTTATGACTGTATAAAGAACCTGAACTTTCCATCACTAAGGTACCTACTGTACTGCATTCAGGTATCAAAATTCTTTGTATAAGAAACGCTATTTTAAAATATGTAGTAAAATCAGTGAGAGAAGATGAGAGAAGAATCTTAAAAGATGTACCTTTGTAAAGAACAAAATCACATTAATCTTTGAAAGAAGTTAATTGCAGGCACATTCACTGTCCTTTTTTTTTTTTTTTTTCCCTCAATGTTAGCAGAAACCAGGTATTTCAGTAACTGAGGTGTTTCAAGCCTGTTTAAAGTAGCTATTTTACATACAGCCATCTCTTTATGCAAGTTTCAAGTAAACTAAGTAATTAATGTTATCATCTCTCCCATATCGTTGTCTCCAGTTTAAGCTGCGGGGTCTTTTAGTTTTGGCAGTACATAATAAAGAAATCAGAGTGATGGAGCAAGAGCAAGCTGTATAGTAGAAGTAGTCATGGGTTTTTCTGGGCTTAGGATATGATAATAGTTTACTGGCTTTTGAGCTTCACAGCATCTTTGTGGTGTTTGACATAATAGAAAAGTATGTCAAAACATTCAAATGAGGAAGCTTTCCACTTTGTTGTGCTACAAAGAAGTTTACTCTATTTGTATTACAATTACAGTCACTCCTTTTATCTGTTTTCATGAGCAACATGTACAACAAATTTTGTACTTTACAGCTAATGCGTATGATTTTGAGGCAATCCTTTGAAGTGCTGAAAAGAAATGAATGGGATGAAAGGTAAGCATATTTCTGAATGTAATTGCATCATAAAGAAGTTGCCCATCAAATATATTTTCATTTAATAGATCCTTTTTCTCCATAGATGGCACAATTAAGAAGTCCTAACGCTAAGGCTTATTCTCCAGATCGCTTATGATCCGTAACTCAGAAACAAAGTTAGGTGTTGGGCTTCACTAAGTTAAATACACACTGCAGTCAATAACTCTCATGTTCACCCAAGCCGTTTAGCGATTGTTTCATAGGAGTAGATTTGAGAAAGTAATTGTCCTGGTTTGAGCCAGGATGAAGCCAATTTTCCTTTTACTGGTGTTTTGGTTTTTTTTCCTTCAGTAAGCTTTCTTTTAATTAGTACCAGAGCATTCCAACTAAGACTGATAACAGACAGTGGAATGTTCTTGTAACTGCTGGGGCTCCAAGTTCACACCGTTACTCTGCTGGCTCAGACACTACGGGGAGATCTATGACCCCCTGTAGGAGGCTGAGTTAGACAGACAGCAAAACTGGCCAGAGATATTCCATTCTATATATCTACATAAGGTCAGAGATCACAGAAGACAACTTCCTTCCTGCTTCTTCCTTTCTCTTCCATCCAGTGGCTGGCATCCAGGGAGGACTCTGTCCAACCATCACCATCAACCCCCAGCCTCAAGCTCTCCTGACCCTCATAGCTCTGCACTCTCTCCAGCAGCAGCTCTGGGATTTTTTGGGACTGTTCACAGCTAAGGAGAGTGCTGGGGGAGTTGCTGGGGGTGGGAGAGGCGAGAGACTTTTGCACATATCTGAACATATTTGTATATAATTGTATATATTTTCTTTTATCATTAGTGTTTAATTAAAGCTGTGTAATTTAGTTTTCAATCAGTCATGAAATTCAGCAGAAGTGTTGCCCATTGCTATCTGAGGGATTCCTCTCATCAGAGATGAAATTTTGAACACTCCCAATTAGCGAAAATTTATAATTGGGCTTAAAATTGAGCCCCACGTTTGGTGCCAAAAAATTGTTGCCACTGTTTGACTCAGTTCGACAACAATGCTCTGGATCCCCTCCCCCTCCTACCCAGGTAGGGAAGGAGAGAGAGAAAAAGAGAGACTGTATCGAAAACTGAACTGCACAGCTTTAATGAAACACCAGTGATAAAAGAGAATATATACAGTTATATACAAATGTGTTCAGGTATGTACAAAACTCCTATTGCCCCCTCTACCCCCAGCAACTCCTCCAGCATCTCCTGAGCTGGAACATTCCCGAGGAATCCTGGAGCTGCTGCTGGAGAAAGCACAGAGTGATGAGGGTCAGGAGAGCTCAAGCCTGGGGGTCGACAGCAATGGATGGATGGAGTCATCCCCGGACGCCAACCATGGACAGAAGACAAAGGAAGAAGAAGCAGGAAGGAAGTTGTCTTCTGTGATCTCTGACCTTCCTCTGAGCTTATGCAGATATATGGAATGGAACATCTCTGGCCAGTTTTGCTGTCTGTCTAACTCAGCCTCCTACGGGGGGGTTATAGATCTCCTTATAGTGTCTGAGCTGGCAGGACAAAGATGTGACCTTGAAGACCCAGCAAAAACATTCCATCATTTGTTATCCTTCCTAACTGAAACATTCTGCTACTCGTTAAAAGAAAGCTTACTGAAGAAAAAAACAAAACAGAACACCACAGTAAAAGGAAAATTGGCTTCATCCTGGCTCAAACCAGGACAGTAATTAATGTATGCTTATGCAAGATGGAGTTTGCTAGAATTGACTGATGTAGCAGGAGACCTATCAATGGAATGTCAGCTGTGGAGAGATTAAATAAAGAACCTGTGTGAAGAAAGTACATAGAATGAATTTTTCTTTGGTTGTATTGTTTTTCTGATTAACTGACTTTTTTCATTTTTTATTTTACTGTGTTTAATCCTGGTGACTTGTCTTTTGGTAAGGCAGAACTCCTTAATTCTAAACTGGCTTCCTGTTTATTGTATACTTCAGTGGATTTGTTTGTCCTCCATGTTCTATTAAATGGCAAGTAATTGCAGTCATCTTGCTCTACCTAGAGCTCTTCTGCCACTTCTAAGCTTCCTCTTTATTTAAACTGATAAAGAGTTCTATTTTAATTAAAAGGGCTCGATAACCTAGTGTTAAAGTTATCTTTTCTCTCTCGCCTTCAGAAATGTGGAATGCATATAGGCATGCTTTTGTGGAAATAGAAAAGACTGCAAAGCTAAAGTATATCTCATCTGTGTTCTACCTTCATGTTTGCATTTCCCCATGGGTTGAAGAGATTAAAACTGTCCTTGGCAGGAACAGAAAGCCTGGGAGGAGGTTTGATAAAGCCAAAGCCCTTTTTTCCCCACATGTATTCCCATGGCAGAGACATGATCACCCAAACTAATCTCTGACAGGGTTTCATACGAAAGGCTTTGCCCCCCCCTTTTTTCAGCTTCATAGAAAGAATGGCCTGGAGGCCCTTCACCAGGAGAGGAGACAGTGTAGGGAGAGAAGATCTTTATTCCTCTCTTTGCAGAGTGAGGGAGCTCAAGAGCTGCCTTTCCCTCTGCAGTGGAGCCTAGAAGCTGCTTAGCATTTCTTTAAAAATGCTTTTGAATAAAGGTGTATTAAAGTAAAACTGAAATCAACTTCATGGTTTTAGAATTATTTAATTTTTCTTTGGAACTGGAAGCATTTGTTCTTTGCAAAATTGCAGGAGGTCCCACAGAACGCCGGATGTGAACATGTGAAATCTACAAAGCTTTACTTTCCTGAAAGATAGTAAGGATACGCCTCAGGGGGAAAAAAAAAAGGCAAAAAAAATCCCAAGTGCTGCTTTGGTGCAGCACTGACAGCTTGTTTCTCTGAGCCATGTCACTAGTAGTATTTTTTAGTACTCCAGAAGCCAGTAACTGAACTGTGGCTGTGTTCAACCTCTACACAGCTCCATTACTTCTGGCTTGAGCTATTGGAATAATACATTTTTTTTATGCCTAGTTTAGCCCTCAATTTGTTCTTTAGTGTAATTATTTTGCTCTCAGGGGCAGTGGATAACATTCTTTTAACACAGGGAAAGTCTGCACAGTTGAAATGAGTTTGAGAAAGATCAATATTAAATGTAGTCGTTAGGTGTGCACCAAAATGAAAATTGTCTCATAAAACGGAAGGGTGCCAGATGTTGCACATCCAGGGTAAATGTGGCAGCTGTGTCTGTAGGAGTGCCCTGCTCAAGTGTCAGAAGCTCTCCTCCTAGCCATCAATCACATGGCACATTAAACTTCAGTCCAAATTGAAGTGTGAATTTTAAAACAGTAATTTTCACTGTAGCAAACTCCATTGAGTGGATTGTCTGATGCTACAAAATCACCTAGAAATCTCATTATGGATTTTTTTTTTAAGTTTATTTTGAGATGTGAAAATTTATCACTGGTTTATTTCCTATGAGTGTTGAACTGTCATAAAGAACTGGTAAAACTGTGAACTAACAGAATTCATTTTCAGAGCAAATAGAACATGAGCAATGAAATATTAATATATACATTCTTTTATTTATTTATTTATTTTTTTCTTTTCCCTTCAGTCTAACTGAAGTATTCTTGCAGCTACTAATGAAAGAAGTTATGGACCCAGTCAGCAATTCTCCCACTGGGATAAAGTTACATTTCATTGATATCTATCTGGATGAATTGGCTAAAGTTGGTGCAAAGGAGGTTAGAAAATGTGTTGTAATTTTCTTCCTGATTAATTGTAACTGTTGTATGCAGTATTTTAGAAGAAATAGAATTTTTAGATAATGTATGTTTTAACTGTTTTAAATGTAATATAGCAAGAGTAAATAAGCATGAAGAAACTTACTACAAGTTATGCTTCTACTTTTGTTGATGTCTTAGTGTAGACAGTAAGAATATATTAGTTTCTCTCAAGTTCTCAAGAAAATGTACACCATACTCATTTGTTTCTTTCAACAGAAAGGTCTTAGCATCTTTTCCCTTGTGTGAACGTTTGCCAGTCTTTGCTTTTCCAACAATCTTGACTGACTGTATAATACACCTAAATAGAAGAAGAAAATGAGCTTTCAAAGTTTTATACTATTTGCCTATCATTTACTTCAAACATTGTTGCCTGTGCATTGAGCAATTTAACCTCTACCTCCAGTTGCTCATTTTGCTTATGACGTCTGTCTTTCTCTGCTGTATATTGCTGTTTCAGTTGACCTTAATTTTGGTTAATGTTACAGTGATGCAGTTTTGCATCAACTGAAAGCCTGTTACCGCAGCTGTCACTTCTGAACTTCTTCCAAAGAGTCCATCTCCAGTTACTGTGAGCTGTCTGCTGCCCAAGAGTTAGCTACAGGGTTCTACGCATTTACCTTCTCTTGTTTCTGGCATCTGACACATCCTTCTTGCAACGGATGGAGCTGTTAGCAGTTTTCCATTTGTACTCTTTGCAGTCAGCACTGAAAGCAATCCTGCCTGCAGCTTTTGTGGTTCTGGATTGTGGAGTGTGAGAGAGAAGTGCACAAAAGAAGCACCTACACTTACCCCCAGTAATTTCCACAGCTCCACAGTCACAAAACCTTCATTCCACGACTAAAGCACTCATAGGAAGCACAGAGAATTAGTTCCCTAGACTATTTCAAATCACAGCTGATGCACACAAATTGATTTTAGGGAAGGATTTTTATCTTTAGTATAACTGTAGCTGACAGTGTTTTGGTGTAGGTGGTCCAATTAAGAGAAACACAGATCTTAATCAGTGTCTGCTACAGACCTTCTATGTGAAAGAACAAAAAGTTACTGAAGAGTTCTTTGCCTCAAGTATCCGTATTTAAAATAAGAAGCCTCATGATATTTCTGTAGTCAGCAGATAAAGTATGTAAACCAGTCTACATTTTTATAATTCTTCCAAGAAATAATGTAGAAGTTAGTCGTAACAGTGGTAACAAAATCCAGTGGTATCACTGGATACTCCTGTCAGTTGAATTTCAGCACTATGCTAAAAGACTTAGACTTGGCTTCTTAAAGAAGATTCCTCTACACCACATATTAAAGGAATTTGAGTGTACACATACAATATTTACTGTACTAATTATTTTCTTTCTAATCATACAGCTTACAGCAGACCAGAATCTCAAGTTCATTGAACCTTTCTGCAAAATTGCTGCCAAATCAAAGGAGTAAGTTTAACAAAAGGATAAATATTTTTTAAGAATAAAGAAACTTTGCGTATACCACTCTACATGGTAATAAATGGATTGAAGAGCAGCCATAGTAGAACTTCAGAATGTAAAGAAACAAGGATACTTTAGTAAAGATGTGCACAGTCATTTGAAGACAGTTTATATTTATCAAAGCTATTAGGTAATCTGTATGGATTTATAAGAATTGTATCAAGCTTGGTTGGGTTTGTCTGGTATATTTTATTTTAAACATGCATAGAACAGCTGAGCTGGCTAGATTCTTTGCTGCAGTGTAATATAAAGCAGCATATAAACACAGTGACATTTAAGAGAGGAAGATTGGCAGGACACTATTTGGATTAAGGGACTGTTGTTTAGGAAGCAACAGGTTCACTTTCTTCATCTGGAGAGCTAGATGCTCTTCCACTTACCCATTTTCCCTGTGTCCCTCAAATTTCCACTTTTTTCATGTGGGGGGTGGGTGTACATGCCTCTGCCGTTCGACTTATCCCTGCTCTTGTAACACAGTCGATGTGTGCTGCATGCTGTAGCCACTGGTATCTTTGAGATGATTGTGGATCAGTCCCCCTATGCCATCGAGGACCTAATGAAAGAAATGAAAGAACTGGGTAGCAACAGTGATGAGGAGGATGAATCTGAAGAAGACAAACAGGAAAACGAAGAGGCACTTAAAACCAAAGGTGAGGAGGAAGTTCTAAATGGCCGTGGTAACGCTTGCTAGGTTGTACAAACCTGTTTCTTAAGAATACATTTCTGCTCTGAACCAGTCAAACACCCATTCAAGGTTTTATAAGGATGAGTTTCCTCTCTCCTCTTCAGATGCGCTTAAACAAAGTGGCTCCAAATAAACATATCCCAAAAATCAGTGGTCTCTGTAAAACCAGGCAATATCAGCTTTCTGCAACTGTGCTAGAAGATAACTGAGTCTGGGTTTTGGCTCTTGGATGTCCAGACATTTTTTAAGAAAACGAGGTTTTGGCCTTCTATGGGAGTTTTTAATTTAGAAAAAAGAAGAAGAAGAAAAGAAAAACAAAGACAATAAACTGGAGCAGGAAGTTTTTTAATCCAGTTCTATTCTGGTGCAGAGTATCAGATAATGCCACAGTTCTGTGTTGCATAATGGTGACATAAAGTATGTCAATCAGTAGAGGCTCACAAGGTAACATGAAGAAAAAGTCACCTCATCTTCTGTCTATGAGAGCAGTGCATGCTATCTCAGTTTTTATAAGCTAAACATTAATAGTAACCTCTTTTTTGTTGTAGCAGACAGATGTTCATCAAGAAAATCAACACAGATCTCTGAAAAAACAGAGGATGTTGATGAAAACTCCGATGATGGTATTGGGACTGTTCTTCAGGTTTGTGCCTTGCTTTGTTATTTGTACTTTCCCTCTGTTTTCTTTTTTCTCCTTCCTTTTGAGAGGTAGAGAAGGGTGTTAATTGGACGAACATGTTACAAAACTTTTATCTCCTGCTTTACTGTAAAGTGATATTTATGTAATATGTACTCTGTGAGTAGCTTGTAAGAAAATAAATTCATGCCTAAATTCTGAACTCTTCTTTCCTCTCTCCCATACTTTCTGTTCTCTGCTCCTCCTTTCCTGTTTCAAGAGTTCACAAATGTGTGGCAAAAGCCGAGTCACTGTGGGTGGTGAAACAATCGGCCTAAGTTTCATTGACAGTAAGAAGAAAACTAATGGATGATGGGAAACATAGGAAAGAGGGTGATATGCTGCAGTTTGGGTTTTTTTAGACCCACTTCTATTGCACTGTTTTTTGACAGATCCACCAATCAAACACAAAGGCAGGCAGATAAGCTTCACGCATCTGTGGCTTTTAAGCAAGAATCAGGGCATGACACACTTGAAGTTTGATATTTAGCTAAATGTTTGCATGAGGTTTGATGTTGATTTGGCTTCTCTCTTGGGTAAAAACTAAGGTTAGAAATGTTTGAGAAAGTGATCCTGAGTTCAACTGTTCTGTTAATGAAGCAACCATCTGCAGAAGTCGGCATCCATGCATGAAGGGGGTGTACATTTCAGCAGAGAAAAAAATACTTTGGGTTTAAAGGAAGTAGCTGTTAAAAAGATGTCTGTGCTACTTGAAGTTTTGATAACATGAGTCACATTCATTTATCTTGCACGAATAAGCTACTTAAGAAAAGCTGTATTATACTTTCCTCCAACAGTTTGATTATAAGGCTGTTGCTGACAAGCTCTTTGAATTGGCGAGCAAGAAAAACACACCATCAGTTAACAGAAAGCGCCTGTACAAGCTGGTCAAAAGGTGAGTTCAGTTGAAATACACCTTGCCTGTGGCAACTTGTCCTAAACAATTTTTACTTTGCTTTCTTCCCACCCTCACAAGAGCAGGCTTTTTTCACAGCCCAGGATAACATGCATAGGGTGCCTGAAGCCTCTGCTCCTCACTGATACTAGACAACTGCAGCTAGCTGAGGTGTATCCACGTTGGGTGGGTTTGTACTGCAGCATCTGTGTGATGCAAATTACAGATGCAGGGGAAGTGTTGAATTGCTCTTTCCTGAGTACTTCCAGTTATTTGGTTTCAGTTTTTTGGAAGCAGATCTCTTATGGAATGAGCTCTTTGTAACTTCCTCTGTTAAAAAAAAAAAAAAAAAAAGGCTGTTCCTGTTTTGACAAAACCATAATAAGCGCAGTGACACTGTGCTGCTAGTGTTACTATTGGTACTAAACCAGTATTAATTATTTGCTTTTCTTTCTCTTCCTTCTTCCCGAACTCCAGGTTCCAGGACTTGGCAGAAGGTAAGGACTGAGCAGCATGAAGAGACAGTAGTTTGTTTACATTAAGGGATATATAATGTTCTCATACAATGTGTATTGCAAAGCGTTCTTTTCTTTTTACATTTTTTTTAGTGGGTATTTCAATAATACTGGTTTTGGGAATCTTATGCGTTTTTTTTTAAATCTGATTAAGACACATTGCACATTTTTTGTGAGGTGGCCACAATTTAAGCAACCTTGTAGTTTGTCCTTAAATTAAAGATGTTTATTTTTTACTTAATTAGGAATCACTCGTATAATTTTCTTTGGGGTTGAGTAAGGAACGATGATTTTCTTTCTGTGGGAGTTATGCTGTATATGAACAGCATAGCTGTTCATAGAAACAGAACTATTAGATTTCAGTTACCTTATCTTTCCTCCTCAACAGGAATCTTCCCCCAAGATTTTCCTGAAGAAGTTTCTTCAGATGAAGACGATGATGATTTCAGCAGGGGAAGACGAAAGAAAAAACCTTTCAAGCCTTGGGAGAAAAACAAGTTGGAAAAACTAAAAGGTAAGGCAAAATAAACCTTTGGAGGAGACACAGTTTGCAGTTACTTGTGTAATCTGGCTAAATATCAGATACAAGCTGTTCCCACGGAAGCAAACCTGTTCAGGATGTGCTGATTTGTATCACGTTGCAACGAAGGTTAAATATGAAATTAAGGTCTCTTTGAAAGTGGTGGAAATTTCATACCAATTTTGAGGCAAGCATCACCTCAAAAATTTGAGTCAAAAGCAGAACTTGGAAATGGTTCTTTTAATTGCTTCATTGGGCAGTTCTCTTTACTGTAGGAAAACCGAAATATATCAGACTTCTTAAAATTACTTTTAGAATGTAGGAATTTAGGGCTGTTTCTGAAAAGGTGAAGAGAGTTACATGTGAGTATGTCTGGCATCACAGCTTGTATTCAAGTGGCACAAGCCTGATTGTATCTCAAAATATCTCATCAAACTACTGGACCTCTGAGTTGCCCTTCTGATAGGCTTAATAGATGGACAATAACAATTTTTTCTAGCAATATTACTGTACAGAATAGGGTTACCATAGGGGATGGCTTAGATGTTAGCTGTGACATGGGAAGATCAGCAAAATATGAATTAGGCCAGGCATCAGAGGAATGCAATGTCCTGACCAGCTGTAATAGTAAAGCCGTTGTGCTGGTTGATAACAGGAAAATGGTACACTTGTTTTAACCGAAAAGAAGAAAGAAAAAAAATAAAAGGAATAAAAAAATACTATAGAACTCAATTTTTGTCAATACCTTTGTGTTTCATGTCTGTGTTATATGGCATTCTTTTTGGGATGGATTTAGAGGATGAACAAGAGATGTCAAATGCAAAGGAGACACCAGTTCCCCAGAAGAAGAGGAAAAAGAGGAAGAAGAGGGACAGCCCACATGCTGATTCTGGAACAGCTGATGGAAATTGTGAGGAGGGAGTAGCTGACACATCTGGATCTAATGTTTTTAGCCAGGGCAACGTGCCAGAAAATAATAAGAAAAGGAAGAAAAAGAAATTGCTAGTAAATGAGGCAAATGAGACCACAAATTTAGCAGCTGACACCAGAGAAAACCACAATATCTCTGCACACAACAGTTCAACTGACGCAGAACAGAGTAAAAAGAGTCAGTTGAAGAGAATGAATCCAAAAGTGCAAAATGTTCCTGTAAAACCAGCATCTCTGAATGGACCAGCTAATGCCAGTGAGGCAGGGGACGTCAGCAGATCTGTCGCACCATCACCTGCTAAGGTTGTGAAAAAGAAACAGAAGGGAGGGGCCGTCTTAGTGAATGGGGGTACCGTTTTGCAGCAAACTGACATGAAATCCAGCAAGGAGGGCTTGCTGGGGACCCTGTCAGGAGGTGCAGACTCTGAATCTGCGCCTTTCAGAAAGGTCAAATTGAAGGCAAAGCTTGTTGGTTTGGAAGGGATGAAAATCTCCTGCCAGAAAGCAGCAACCTTGAAAAAGAAGAGAAAACTAAAAGAGGTGCTAAACTCTGTCGAAGGCAACGGAGCTCTGGAGACTGCATGCAAGAAAAGCAGGAAGGGGGTATGTATGCCTCATTCCTTTTTCTACCTTCTTTCTGAGCTGCCAGACTTAAGTTCAAAGTTGGCTTTAGCTTGCTGAGTGTGGGGCGTCATGGGCAGGTTACAGGCTGATGTCATCAAACACTGTCACCAAAAATAACCCAAGTCCCCACAAATCCACACCCACTGCCAGTGGTCTTACATGCTCCTGTACAACAACACTGAAGCCTGTACCAGCTACTCAGCTGTAAGAACTCATCTAGCTGAAACTTGAGTTGTTAGAGTATGGTTTTGTCTTTTTCCTTTCTTTTTTTTTCCTTCTCTTTGATCCCTTGGTTAAGTGCTCTTTTAGTTGGGTGTCTTGTTGAGCTTACAGCTTGTTCACGAAGGGCATATTTTGGCAAAGTAATGAGAATAGGAAGATGGAACATCTCTTTTTCAGCAGCAGCAGTACACACTTAGATTAGTATAAGCTCCTTGTGTTGCCCACAGCAATTTGAATAGTGGCTTAATTTGCCAGCTCACTTCTCCATCTAAACAAATTGCTAGTGCTGTGTGGGGGAAAGTATTTGAGGAAAAAGGAATCAGAGGATATTTATTAATGGTCTGGTTTCTTACAAAGACAATACTGTGGCTTTTTGCTAGGAAGGTCTGATTGTAGTCTTCCTCAAAACTGTCTTGCAGTTCGGAGCAAGCTCGAGTTTCCTCCCCACACCTCCCATTCCCTTATTGGCAATAAGTAGAATAGGGTTGATTTTGCTCGGCAATTTGAGACTCAGGAAGCATTTAGCGCTGTATATTTTCAATAGAGTGGCTAAGGAGAGTGCAGGGGTTCTTCCCTCTCCTGCCACTGAAGTTCTTTTAACTGCTTATTTCCTGTATGTCTGTTCACCCTAACACATTTAGAGGTTCAATTATATTCTTGGAAGTCTTGCTAACAATCTCATTGTCTGCTGGCTAGCTGAGCAGTCAGCACAGGGGCTGGTGGGGCACTCTTCCCATGTGTAATTCTAAAGGTACTGCAGCATTTGCTGGTTTTTGCTGAGTCCAGGTAGCTGTGTGTGTCTATGTATGTTGAGTGGGGGTGAGGGGATGGAGGCAAGGAGAGAAATCTGGGAGTTGAGTCAGGAAGAAAATGAGAGTATTAGTATAAGAAAGAAGAGAGCAGAGTTAAGCTAAAATGCACAAATCTGAAGGAAATAAGGCTTTGCTAATTTTGTTTTCATTGCTTGAGAAAATAATATGTTGTTTTATTTCCTGGGTTTAGTTATGTAATACTGGTCTTGTGCCCAGAACTCATGAGGGCATGTTTTGATTCTTGATTTCAAAGACAACATACACACCCAGAGAGTTAGCTTCAAATATTGAGAGGGAGAAGGAGAAAAAAGGCAAGTTCAGCATTATTTCACAGTTGTCTTCAGTATTCAGAAAGCTAAGAAGACTTACACTTTTTCATCTTATTTAAAGCAGAAGTGATTTCCAAATTGAACAAGGCCAAGTCCCCTGGACATTTTCCACAGCACAGCTCTGAACTGTTTTTGGAATTTCACGTCTGTAGGTTGATGTGAAACATAGCTGAACTTCCCCTCACAGTAGTCCACAGATACCTGAGGCCCCTAGGCAACAGGTTGAAGAGCTCTGGAGCAGTGCACTTTATTAGTGGCACTGCCAGTACAGGTCCTAAGAATTGCCTTGTACTGGAGAGAAGGGTTGATTTAAATGGCAATCATCAGTTTGAATTTCAGGCAGCAAACTAGTAGCAATACACAACAGCTGAATTTCTGAGAGTACAGGCAGACTTCATACTCTGCTTCTTTTTTTTTTTTTCTGAAGTCTCCATCTTAGCCTAAGGCTGGGTTTGTTCATCAGTTGCATATCTTATCCACTCAGAGGTACCACAAAAGAGATTTTGCTTAAGGCTAAGAAAAAAAAAAGTCAGTGCTTGTGTGCAAGAGAGCTGGGAGGATTGTAAGGCAGGTTCAAGCGCATAAAGAAAACATCTTTCTTTGTACTCTGGTCTGCCAGGCAAATGTATTACAAGTTCTTCTTTGCATTGCAATGACCTTCCTATTTCAGCACAGAGCCTACTTCTGTTTTCAGTCATGCTAACTGCAAAACTAACTCCTTAGAGTTAACCATGATGATTAGCTTGTGGGAGTACCAACTAGCTCCCTCTCAGCTGTGGCAATATTTACAGAAGCAGGGTGTGGTAAGCTCTGAGCACTGCTCACTGCACTAAATATAGTTAGCTATAGTACTTCTGTACTGAGAGTGTTTTTTCCTTTCCCTCCTTTATAGGAGAGCAACACTGCTCTATCACCATTAAAGAAAAAGAAAGCAAAACCAGGAAATGACTTTGTAAAATTTGAAAAAACGACTTTACCAAAGCCAGTATTCTTCAGGAAAGCCAGAAGCACCATCTCTTCCACCAGGGCATCTATGCAGGTAAGGTGATCTCACAGATGACAGCTGAGTCTGGGCTCAGGTCTTCCCAAGCTACCTGCCTTTGCAAAAGGCCTGACCACACTCATGATGTCTTTTCTGTTCTGCCTTAGTCCTCTGAAAGGGACAGATAAAACTGGGAGTGCCATTGCGTTTCCTTGTAGACAGAGTCACACAAGGCTCCAGAGTTTCATAAAATGAATTGTAGGCATGTTAAAAATATCTTCTTCTTTTCCCCCTACTGCTTTCAGAAATACCTTCTTGTTGAAAGGACACTATTCTGAACCTGCTCATTTCGCAAAAAAAGCAAAAGCATAAACTGACTTTTAGTCTTGCTAAGGGACTTTGAGCCTCCATTGCCTCCCATTTGTGGAGGCTGGAAGACTGCTCTCTTTTCTAGACATTTTAAACATATAATAGCTTTTCAAGACCTCTTTGCACTTCAAGGCCTGAGTGCAGTAGCACCAGTGTATTTAATACACAAATATATATTTTTTTGTTTAGGATAGTATGTGATTTATCCACAAATGGCTAAAAAAAACAGTGCTGTCTTAACAGAGGCCAGTGCTAGAGAATTGGGGGAGTTCTAAATCAAATGAAGGAAGTAGGAAGTAGGTTTCCTTGCATTGATTTTGATGGGATGCAGGTAAAAGATCTTGTAGCATTGCCTTAGATGTCTTTATTTTATTTCATGTCTTTATTATTTTATTTCATGTCTTTATTATTTTATTTCATGTCTTTATTATTTTATTTCATGTCTTTATTATTTTATTTCATGTCTTTATTATTTTATTTCATGTCTTTATTATTTTATTTCATGTCTTTATTATTTTATTTCATGTCTTTATTATTTTATTTCATGTCTTTATTATTTTATTTCATGTCTTTATTATTTTATTTCATGTCTTTATTTTATTTCATGTCTTTATTTTGCTTTATAGCTGAACAAACTGCAGTCGTCCAGCTCCAAAAAGGTCACGTTTGGCTTGAATAAAAACATGACTGCTGGTGAGTCTGATACATCTGTGTGTCTCCACAGTCTCTCTTGTAGCCAAGGAAAGGGGAAGCTGTGCACACTTATACACACTTACACTCTTCACCTCTCTGGAACAGGATTTTTGTCTCTATTTATGTTGTTTATGAATCATCCTCAAGTTCCTCTCCAGAGGAGATGGTAAAGTTAAGGACATTCAGCTCAACAGCTAGATTTGCATGATTCTAGGGTGCTGCATAATGGACTTGCAGATGGAGCCATATGGATAGAAAAAGTGCACTAGTGATAAACTGTCCTTCCTGAGCTGTCTGTTCTGAAAGGCACTTCCTAGGGGAACACCTGCTCTTCAGTCTTTGTTGCTCATTTCTGTTTCCCAGCACAAAGGGGCTCATACACTGCTGAGCTCAGACTGTTTAATAGTGAAGTTTCAGTCTCGTCTTGGCTGTCTGTAATTTATTAATGGTAACGAGTAGATAAATGTCAGTTCCCTTCTGCATCCCACATGTAAGCAGACAGTGTTTTCCCTGTTAAAATAATGTCTGGCTCCATAGCATTAAAGTTTGTTCCATATATTAATTTTTTACTTTCCGAGGTGTACTATAGGCCAAGTTCAAATGGAGAATAGTGTGTTTAGATATTTGTCTTTATGTTAATAAAACACAGCTGCACAAAAAGAAGAAAATGCCTACCTTATGGCAGAAGGAATAAGGAAGTGTCTAGAACAGTGCTGTTTAACAGTCAGAGCAGAGCCACTTCGTACCCATTGTCATCTTTTAAGTGTGGTGTTCTTCAGGATAGCTGGAATGCTTGTTTCTGAGGAGTAGGCTCAGCATCTCTGGTGGTCTGTGAAACCATGAGGAATGGTTCACAGCCTCTCTGGGTTGCAGCAGACCCCGTTCTCAAAGGGACTCTGCTAAGAGATGTGTTTTACCACCATCTCTCCATTTATATTTTTTTTGCAAAGTCTTAGGCTTCTGATCCATAGTGATGGACTTAAGGATCAAAGGCAGACTTCCAGTGTTGGCCAATTCCACAATCAATTGACAAGCCAAATTATTCCAAGAGTTGTATTTCTTTTAACTTGTTTGCTTGTTTCTCAACAGAGTTTAAAAAGACTGACAAAAGTATACTAGTGAGCCCAGAAGGACCCTCGCGTGTGGCTTTCAATCCTGAACAGAAACCCCGTCATGGGGTGCTGAAGTCATCCACAGGTACCCCAGCAGGAGAGCCTCAAGGGAAGAAACCATTTTCTGTATCAACTAAGAAGAGACAAATGTCTATGGACTTATTTTAAACCAACAGATGTGGCCTACTTTTATACAGGACATTTTGCTAACCCAGAATGTTCTCTGGAGGTATTTTGAACTTCTTTATTTTTTTAAGTTAATACAGATTGTATATACAAAATTCTGATTGTGACCTAGGTCGTCACTATTTTGACACCACTTCAGCTGTATCTTGAAATACGCCTTTTGTGTATTTACGGAAAAGAAACAAAATCCAATCTCTGCTCAGGTTTGGTCTATGGAAAGTATGGTCTCTGCACATGTCATTCTTGAGTGACTTGTTTATTTAATTAAGGAATGTTCAGGATGTGATTGTTCCCATGATTTTTTTTGAGCCAGTCTAAGAAAACTAGCGCTTCATGCTTTTAAATTGTCTTTCATTGGACAGTGCTTAAAATGGAAAAAGACAATGTGGATTTTAAACCTACTATGGTTGTTCATGTCTTTAAAATTTTGCCCCATCTTTTTTCCTGTGTCATCCTTGGTATCCTGTTAATTCTTCTGGAAATAATAATTACCTCATCTCTCTGTTTAATAACAGCAAGACTTGGGTAGCTTTGCAGATAGCAAGAAATGCCTAGCTGCTTCAGTGGTCACTGTTGCAAATAAACCATCACAACTGGTTGTCTGCTGAGTTGGGAACAGTCACCACATTTGTTTTCAGTAACACAAGTGCCAAAGCTGGCTTACATTTGCCATGTTGTAAGTTGGCTTATTTTCTCTATTGTAACTGAAATAATGCTCTTGCATGGGAGAAATCTTTGATGTTTCCAGGTCTTTTGCCCCACTGCTGTCTTTCCTGAAGGTCTGACAAAACTCCTGGATTTCTTCTACAGCAGCTGGTGTCACCACATTTTACCAGAACTCATATCTGTATCTCATTCAGTGAATGAACATCTGATTGTCCTAAAGTGAGCTGGATCAGTGTAGTGCATCTTTGGTTAGAACACACATCTTTCTCTAAAAGCTTTGGTGCCTCTCAGTACAGGGTAAAATCTTACAGCCCAGACAGCTTGATTTTGGTTTTGATGTAGACAAGAATTCTTTCTGCACCGTTTCCTTGCATTAAGTTTTTATTTGGACATTTTATTACTGCTGTGCGTGTTTTGATTTTGTTTTGCTTCTTTGGTAAAGAATGAGGTGTTACTTCTGTGAAAGGGGGAACTGTGAGGAAGGGGAGAGCAAATTAAAATAAAAGCTTCTTTGATAAGGTTGGAAGATTTGAAATCTTTCTTTGGAAGTTTTGCTTATACGAATGAGGCAAAGGCTTTGCAGCAGATCTCTATGTTAAGAGCTCAGCTCCAAAGCACACACTCTGTGCCAGAGCACAGCTATTCATGCAACTTCCCACCAGTTACTTCTATGATCCTGCAGGAGAGAGGGTAGGCCTGCATCATTACCATGTGTTACGATAACTGGTAAACATTTAGCTACTGCAGCCAGCAAAATTAAATGTTGAGACATAATTTGCATATTTCAGTACTACTTTTTACGAGTCTTTGGTGCTGACTGTCCTCTACCAGATTACTCCCCATAAGAAGCTGGATTGAAACTGCTCTTTCACAGCTCATCCAAAATGTCTTTAAAATATTTTTGTACTTGTAGGTTGCTGGTCGGTCTCAGTTGCTCCATTCCAATCCGTGCCAGTTCTCGCACTAAGTTTGTGACAGTCCATGGTTTGTGGTGCTGCCATGGAAGTATTAAAAAGTAATTTTGCTGTTTTCTCATCTGAAGTGAAGGACTGAATTTCATTTGGTTTTATTTTAGTTCATATTTGCTTGACCGATTAGTAAAGAACTCTGGAGAATACATCTGAGAAATGTAATATTTACTGTTTGAGCAATTATTGTTCGTTTACTTAAAAACAAAATCTCATTGTATATTAGCATAATGCATTTTTTGGACAAGACAATGGTAAGTAGGATTTAACAAAGACTGTTCAGTATATTGTACTGTTTATTTTGTACTGTGGGTGAGAAGTCTTTTGTGGAATATGCATAAAAGCATTTGTATGTGCATGGTTGTTTAATGCATTATGTTGAAAATGCCACATTCCTCCAAAGATATAAATCAAACAATTGGTAGGGAGTTCTGCTGTGCACAGAAAAATCCAGGATCAGGACACATCGGGGTTTGGTTTTGGTTTTAATATCTGTTACCTATTATAGAAATGTATTTAAATGGTTGTCTGGATCTTTTTTATTGATTGTGGATCCATTGAACCTGTTGCTTGTCCACTTATTTTCTTGCCCACAGTGCTAAATGAAGAGGGCAGAAGTGGCAGTTTTTAATTGAAAATTTTAGTGGTGTGATTACTTGTTTGGATTCATGCATAATCCATATGTGCCATGAAACTGGTGGAATGTTCTCTAAATATACGTATGTGGTGTGTATTGTCTTCAGTGGTCTCGAATTTTATTCAGGAAACCTTTACAAACAAAACCCACGCAGTGTCAATACAGTTTAATTAGCGTTGTTGGGTTAAATTGAATACAATCCCCAAAATGTTTGCATAATTACAATTCAAATAAATAATGTGGACAAAAACAAAGGAAAAAAAGTGTAACATCTAAGATATCCACCGCACAGTCACAATAGTACAATACAGAGAGATGTATCAGTAGGAAGAGAGAACGACTGTTCTGACCTGTTTGATTTCACTTCATAGATATTTCTCATAGTGTTATTCCAACTTTACAGCTGCCAGTCGTGCTGTGAGTCAGTGTATGTGGCATACCTTTTAAGGGACAGTATTTTGTAATTATGGTCTGTACATTTTTGTTACAAATCTGATCAGCATTGGGTTTTCCAAGCTTCAGTGCTTTATAATTCGTTATAGCTTCAGGAGAAATCAAAAGCACAAAATTAATTCAGCAAGGCAAAAAGTTGAAATTATATTTAAATTATTTGGTATGCAAGATCTTTTATGGTCTATCAAATCTATGTGACTTGCAAAGCATCAGATGCCCTTTTTGTCATTTATTTCCTGTGCTTAGACTTAATTACAGGCAGAAAAAATATCCATGTGTTATTTTATTTACCTCTGCAACAGCATCGTAATTACAAATACAGTGTCTTAAGAATTACATCATTTAGTCCAGTTCAATAAAACTTTTTTTTTTTTTTAATGGATGTTCTATTCTGGGTAAATCTGTAAATTTGGGGGGTGGGAGTTAGGAGGGTAGCATTCAAGGGTCTACTTGAAAGTACAAAGGAAGTTGTTCTTGCATGCATACACATGCTCTCTTTTTATTTAACTTTATTGTATAAATAACCAAAACTGATGAAGACTTAGACACGTGTCAGAAGTGAGTAAGGTGGTGACAGGATATACCTGCTTATACACCTCGAGCTTCTGACCTTTGTAATTGGGCCATAGAGAAGATATGCCAGCAGCTACAACGTTGCTCAGGAAAAACTAAGTAGATCACATGCAGCCATTTCTTGGCAATTAAAATTGGTAATTGAAGTGGTAAGATGGTGAGAGGTGTACTTAAAAGGTGTCACTGTGCAGGTGCCAAACTAGGGAAGAGGTGGACAATCTGAAAGGCATTTCCCTGTTCTTTAGCAGTAGTACACCATATGAAATTAAGTATATAGAGAAATCCTGCACAGAGTACTGCATCTCCACCTCTGGTAATGACAAGCCCAGCAACTGCACAGGATCAATTAAAAAATGAGTCATTTTTCTTGACAGGCACAGAATTTTCAGAAATGTAAAACTCTTTATTTGGACAAAGAAAAATGACCTATCCGCAGCAGTGGCACCAGTAAAATGAAAACATAAATCCTCAGGTTAAATGAAAACAGGTTTCCTTCAGAATAAAGTCCTGTGAAAGTGAAATTCTTGTTATATGTTTAAAAAAATGCACGTATCTACATTTCTATGGTAGTATGTTTTGACCGTGTTGAAGACCATAGTGATAGCATACAACTATAAACTAAGTGCTGAATGTGCTTTTATTATATGTGGTGTCAGGTGGAAATCCCCATTTGCAGTTTAGCTGTGGGGCCAAGATAATGATTTCTTGCAGTACCTTATGCCACCTTCATGCCATGTAGGATCTTAAGTCACTGATGGAGTATTCTGCAGCAAAACTAGTGGTGCTGGTCTTGGCCACGCTTCAAGGAATTGCGGTAAGATTCTGTGCCTCTCATCGTTCTTCATGGGATCCATGCAAGCAGGTTGTATGCCACCTGGCATACAGTGCCACCTGGATTGGCATTTCAGTGATCCGTGCTGGCTGGTGTTTCCAGGAAGGTAGAAAACATCTGTCTGCACAAGTCTGCAAGGTAACACAAGTATGTTTTACATTTTATTCCTGTCATGCAAATCAAGGAGAAACATAGGGCCTCTTTCTAATTATCTGTTGCAGAACTAGAATTTGAACCATACAAACAACACTTCCTGGAACTAACTAGCTTCTTTTTTTTTAAAAAAAAAAAGTAAGGATTTTTTTATTTCAACATAATACTGCAACGGTTTTCATATGATATTTTGGATGGATATGATTATTAACATGAGAATTCTTTGATCTCTAAAATAACTTCAGCATGATAGACTGTGTGCTGCACTCCGGCATCTGTAATGACTGCATCCCAGATTAAACAAGTTCTAACTCAGGTAAAAGTTTATTTCTTTTTTTTTTTTTTTTTTTTTTCCTCTTGTCCCTGAAAGAGTGGTGTGGGGGGCAAGAGAGATTATTATTCTCTTTTGAAGGCTCCAAACTCAAGCATTTTGCATATGTAAAAGCACAAACCAGTTTGAGGAGGAAAAGCAAATACTTCATCTGTAAAAACATTGCAACTTGTCGCAAATAATACAGCTAACCACTGTAAATAAAATCCAAGAGTGGGGCAAAATGTTTTTAACACCATTTTGTGCAGTGGTTTCCTTAAGATAGCTGTTTCATTGGTATGTGCTTTTATCAGACATAGAAGAAGACAATTTTTTGGTTTTTTAGGAAGCCTTTTAAAAGGGGGTTTAAGAAATCTCACAAACCTGTTTGCATTAATTTAATCTTGGAAAAGGAATTATTTTACAGAAATTTATTGAAGAAAAAGGTAGGGTCAACTGTGTTCTGTAGAGCTACTCATGTTCCTTATTGCTGAGAGGTGGGTCTCAGGATTTAGCCCCTCCATACTGTCTTTCTGATACTGGTCCTAAAACAAACAAAAAGCACAGAAAAGGAGACATCTGAGTTTCTTTCCTACACAAAAAGTCTTGCACTTTTCTTGGAGAAGAGTTTTACGGCATGAGATTCAAAACCTTCCTACAATCAATTGGGTGTTGACTCCTGGGGAGTTAAACAGAGAAGTGCACTTACTAGTAGCATCATTCCTTTAGGATTTGTATACCATTCTTTTGAAATACCACATTTTGGATTCAACACCACCAGATACTAGCCAGTTTTATAGTTTTTTATTTTAAAAAAAATCTCAGATGGCTTCAACACAAGCATTTTACAACACTCCAGATAGAGCATGTAACCCAGTGCAATTGCACAGTTCCTGGACTAAACTGTTCCTTATTTGCATTTCTCTTTCAGATATTTGTCTTGCATAATCAAAGTAAAGCCCTGGGAGGTTTGAATTTTGTTCACTGTGTGGTTTTGACTGTGGGTGCAAGTTCCACAGTCTTGGAAACTGCCTCCTGCTTGCATTCGTCACTGTTTCCGTGGTCCACCTCTGAAGGCTAACAGTGCTAACACGATAGTGAATGTAATACTCAGCACAAAAATATGCATACAAGGTCAGAAACACTATTAAAACAGCAGGGAAGAAGACTGAAACTGGAGTTCCAAGATGTTCTTAATAACAAAAAAGCCAGACTTCATCCTGAAGTCCAGTAAGATTTCTGGGTACACAATTCCTTAGAATTTCCTTCTGCTGTTGAAAGCTTTAGTTTAATGAAGGCTTGATCAGGATCCAGCCTGGACCCTTCTCTTTGATCCTGCTCACAGGAAGATAAAATACTAAAAGAGCCCTCAGTGAAGGCCGTTTTGCTCTTTACAAAGTACTGGGGATGTGGAGAGAATCCCAAATTTAACCCTACCTCTATGAGAGAAATTTGTGAAAAACGTGGAAGTGCCAAAAGTTAGGCTTTCCAGGGAAGTGAATTCCACACTCATTTTAGGGAGCAGATCTTATTCCAGTCTCAACTCATCTTTTCGTAGGCTTTGCCACTATGGTAAACATCTGGGAGGCATCTGCTACAGAATGACAACTGAAACTGTAAACACTTGTATAATGTCTATTTGTTTCTGCAGAGTATTGCCACTGAGTAATTCTGTTTCTGAAAGCCCATGAGTCTTTCCCTGTCATTAATCTCTTTAACAGGAAGATCAGAAAACATTAATGAGGTCTGCCCTGCTTTCAAATAGACTGACAGAAAGGAGAGAGTGCCCACTGTTTCTGGCTTAGAAACAAGCCCTTGATGGCAAGAGGGGAAGAAATTGCTTTTTGACATTCACAAGCTGCAAAACCGGCTATTGAGGGCCTGAACTCCAACACAATTGTTTGCCAAGAATGGTGTATCACATTGTAATGCCAGGCACAGGAATTTGTAGATTACCACTGGCATGTTCAGGGTTTGCATATGATACAGATATTTTTGCTGATTAATTCTAAGCAGCCATGGTCAATGATTATTTGTCAGGGAGTCTACCATTGGTGCTAGTAATGAGAGAGGCAGCTCATGTATCTGTCAGGACTAGACGGTGACTTTTAGTCTTTGCCCATCTATCTTGTGCAGTCATCATATCTTTTCTGTGTCAGTTTAGCTGATGTAAATATACAGGTTGCTAGCTGTCCTGGAGAAAAACCTTTGCTATCAAATCTACTGGTATCTTGCTGGATGTTTTTTACTATGTGGTGTTGGTAATTTCCATGCAAAAAGTCTTCTCTGCTTCAATCCCCAGATACCAAATAAGGGAAAATGGAAGGTCCTCATAAGAAGTAATCTTGTATGGAGCATCTTGCTTTCACTTAGGTGACTGACTGACATCAGTCCCAAACATCATTCTGCTTTTTGGTCCTCCCTTTCCAGAAAAATCCAGAATCTTTATTTCCAGCACACAATGCAATTGTATTGCTTATCTTGTGCTAATGGTCTGTAGTGTTAGGTTCTTACTTTATAACTTTTGCTAGAGTTTTGGAGTGATGCCTTGGAATTGCTGCTGTTTGCTGAGAGGATCTTAAGCTATGGTAATCTTCAGTTCCAGAAACGAATTGTTCCTTATTAATGTTCCCAGATTGGAAGCTCATTATTAATTTCCTCTGAATTGTTGTAACTTCAGCTATTTGTGTGTATTTGGCTGTTTGGGTAGGAGCAGGGGATTTAGGTTTCTCTTTTCCTTTATTTTAAATATCTATGGGTGCTAAACCAACAATGTACTAGTAAACGCTAAGAACAGCAAACCTAGAAACATTCTGAAACTCCTGATGAAAGTCTGAAAGTTTGGTATGACATCCTGGTCCCATTAGTGGCTGCTAAATTCATCCTACCATTATCGTTCTTGTACTAAGAAGGAAAAACTAGGCCTTCAAAACTATACAGGTTAGCGGTTGTTACTAATCGCAGTGTTCAAAGCAACATTAGTGGGGAGAATTGTTCCCTAATAGCACAAGCAAAAGCAAATTAGAAAGAAATTTCCAGCCTAGAACAGAACTAACATCTCTCAGACTCCTGAAATCTGTCCCACATTATCACTATTTTGCTAATTAGTTAAGTTAAACTAACTGGAAAAAAGTACACAGTTTGTGAACTTACTGAATTCCATTTAAAGGTTAATTTAAAGTAGAGAATTTTTTTGTAACCACTGAAGGAAAAGAACAAAATTAAATTAACATTGCCCAGGTAACAGGACCAGAAATAGATGTGGTATTAGTCAACTTAGCATGTACTGCCTGCAGCTTGAACTCAAATGCAAATCTGTTCTGTTTCGAGCACAGCAGTGGCCTGACATCCCACTGCTTTGTGTGCACATTTCCCCAGGGAATAAGCTGTGTAGCCACGTAGCTTTGCCAAGCAGATATCTCTGAGCAGTGGGAGCTGAAGCAAGTGACTCATGACTGCAAGACAGCATGTGATACAAGACACACACAGGATAAACTGCTGAGAGATGCAATTCGTGACTGAGAGGTTTATTCCCACTGCCAAGAAAGGCCTTATTCTTTTCCAGCTGTTAACACACTCCATAAAAAAGTATACATAGTGTGGCATTTCTGATCCAAAATCTTCATCGAACAGTTTTCAAGGTTAAGTATTAAAGGGCAGGTACAGAAGTGCCTGTGAAATCAAAACATTCAAAGCAATGAAACACAAATTTCTTCCCTCTTTCCCCCCAAAGTGCCTCAAAAGTGAAGCAAAAGCAAAATGACAACATTTTTATGCCTTTCTCTAAAGCTGTTCTCATGACCACATGCCACACTGTCGTGTATTGCGCCATAACCGCTTGCATCGCGTACCTCTCTGCTTGCCAGAGCAGGGTTCTGTTCTGCTGCTGGCTGGCAGAGGTACGTGCACTTACTCTGCTACCTCTGTAATGCTGGTGAATTCAAGGACAAAATGGGGTGACTGGGATTAAACTCCTGATTATACCGTTACTTTTCCCCAATAGTAGTAGTAGTTGCGATGTGCAACGGGAGTAGATCCTGAGGGTGCAAATATGAGCATTCTGGCTAAAGCTGCAAGCTGATCCTAAGCACTGTAGCTCCCTCAGCCAAGCAAAGGAGGCCATCTGCTTCCTTTTCATTAACTTCAACCATTTTGTTAAATGCCTTCTGGAACAAAAAAGTGCAGGCAACAGCACCAATGAAAATATTTGTGTAGAGTTACTGAGAGCTGTATGAATAAAAAGGGTGTTTCTGCTTAGAATTTCACTTTAGAGTGGTCTTGCATTGTGGGTTGTTTGTTGGTGTTGTTTTTTTTTTAAAAAGAGTATTTTTTTCTGAAGAAGATGAGGATCAAGAGTGCCATACTATATGTTCTGCTGTTCAACTGTGACAACTTCTGACAGTGGTACAGCATTTTAAAAAGAACTTTTTTATTGCTGGCCTGTCTCTCATCTTGACACCCAGCCCCTTGGCTGTTATGAGTAAGAGGAGTTCGTTTGCTTCAATGAAACAATTGAAGT